CTCCCTCCCTCCCTCCCTCCCTCCCTCCCAGGTCTTCCCCATCACAGAGTTTGTGGGTCCTTGAAGGCCCTGCCAGGTGGCCTTTGCTGCCTTGGGTCGAAATACGGGTTCTCTTGTGCCCTTTTGCAGGAGGTGGCACACAGACCTGCCCCGAGGGGCCTGCCTGCTGGTCTCCTTGTCCCTGGATCACAAGAAGATGCCGCCGGAAGGTGGGGTGAGGGCAGTGATCCTAACCTCCCAGTACCTCATGGAGCCCTTGGGGATGGGGTGCTCAAAGGTGACTCATATCTGCCGTGCAGATCTCAGGTATGGCTCGGATCCCCACTTGTGTGCAACTGAAGGTGCCCAGCCATTCACCTCCCCTCTGCTGAATTCGGCCATTCTCTCTGCCTGCTGACCACCCGTTCTCCCCACAGTCCCAAAGCAAGGAATCTGCTGGCGTGGACCAGCTCTAGCATCTGATTTGCCATAGGACAGGTTCTCACGCGCAGGATCCCTGTAACATCCAGTGATGACCTGTGTGGATGTGAATGGGGCACCATTGATGAAACTCCCCAGACTCGACTTCAGCATCCTTTCCAACATTAGTGCCTTTCATCAAGTGCACCGAATTATGCATGTGCACGTGTCAGCTATTCCACTGCCAGACAATTGAGTAGGCCAGTTAATTAACATGCATATCATTATATCTAATTCTTAAATGGGCCATAGCAAGTAAATAAAAAATCCATGCAGTGGGGCCATTGAAAAATGGGGGATTCTCTCCAAGCTCAGGAAAGGGTCAGGTTTGGAGGAAAATATGAAATGTAAAAAAATACATTGGAGGCTGGGGCTGCTAAGGTCTTCTGAGAGACGCTGGTCTGAGGGCCCCGTGGCCATTCTCTGGGCTCCCAGGCCGTCCATATGAACCAGCACTGCTCAGGATTCCAGGCCTCTGTGAGTGACAGAGGATGCGTTCAGACGGGGCGTTTCTGCCGGCATAAACGCGATCACACTTACCTCCATCTTCCGGATCCCTCCGTTGGATGCCCGCTCACACGCTGCGGGCGTCGGCGTTTGTTTTTGTTTTTTTAAAAAAGCACAGTTTGAGCATGCGCATAGGCAGCCATTCAGAGAATGGCGATCTTTGCGCATGCTCAAAACCCCCCCCCCCATTACATTTAAACTTTAAAGGTAAGCACTTACCTTTAAAGTTTAAAGCCCAACCTGGCCTCCCTGTAGTCCCGGACTCCTCCGAGAAGTTAAAGTAAGGGCTTTTTTTTGTTTTGTTTTTAAACAAACGCTCAGGGCGAAGCTTCGCCCGAGCGCATATCGCTTCCTTTTTTAAAAAAATGGCGGGGAAAAGCCGAAAGCCTCAGGCTTCCGACAGAAGTGTCTCTGCAGCTTTGGAGAGCGATCAGACGCCGGGATAAACCAGAAGCCACCGTTGCACTCAGTATACCACCACTTGGGACCTGGTGGCAGAGTGCAACGGTGTAGAGGGCGTTACACCGGTTAGGGAGAGGAGGCAGATGTGCCCCGTCTGAACGCCAGTGAGTACAACGGTTGGAACCGGCACCCTAACCGGTATAAAGCCCCCGTCTGAACGCACCCAGAACATGGAAAAGGCTGCGGGGAGAGAGACTGCGGGAGGACGGTAAGAGCAGGGGAGGGTGAATCTGGAGGGGGAAGAACCAAAGAGAAGAAGGGAAAGCTGAAGAGGTGGGAGAGGAGCGGAAAAGGGTGGTGGGCGAGGAGGGGGGGCAGAGGCTGCAAGCAGGAGGAAGAGTAAAAGGCCAGTAGAGGGTGGGGAAGAAGGAAGGGGGAGGGGCTGCAGGTACTCAAAGGGGGGGCAAACAGGAGACGCTTCAGAGAATCCCCTCTGAGTTGTCATGCCCCCCCCCACTTGCGCTTGTTCATTTTCCGTCTGCTTTTCTGACTCTGCAAGTCATAGGAAGAGCCAAAGAGCACAAAGACCCCTGCCCCTCACCATCGTAGGCTCCCTGCCCCCCTGCAAAAGCTTTCACCAGCTCTTTAGCCAAAAGAAGCACATGCAGAATTATAAAAGTGCAGCCACAGTTAAGCAGGAACTGGATGTTGGCCCCAACTAATTTTCTTTTCTTCTTGTCTTTCCAGAGGGCGGTCTCCAGAGTGGTACAGCAGGGTCTTTGGCCATCTCTGTGCAATGGAGCTTGTCAGGATACGGAATTCTTTCCCAGGGCTAAACTCAAGTGGCCCAGAGACAAAGATCTGAGCCTGTCAGACTGCCCTGTCCTTTTCTTGACTTGTTTCTGACCTTTGGTGCTACTGAGGCAGGATGCCAGAAAGAAGGTCACTGGACTGCGGGGCCACCCCGAATCCCCCCCCCCCAACAGTGCCTTACTCCTACTGTGAAAAAGCATCTAACTGGGTCCCTCTGGCACTCGGGAGGGGAGGGGGCATCCCATGCAGAGCCCAGCAGGCCTCCTGGATGAGCAGGAAGGAGCCCGCTCGTGTTGCTGCTGGTTGGCTCAGCAGTGCCTGCTGCTCCTTCAAAAGGACCTGGAAGACCTCAGGGGGAGGAGCAAGCCCACGGGCCTCAGTCCAGCAGCCCCAGGCCCATGGTAGCCGCGACCAAAGGATGAGGTCGGGCTGAGGCTGCTCTGGGCCAGTGGAGCCCACGCTTGGCAGAGGGCCCCCCGCGGGCCCAGTGCTGGCACCACTGGAGCTCTGAGACACCCCCCCCTTCTCTGCCTAGACCTAGGTTCATTTGGCACCACGCAGGGTGGAGCACGCTGGGCTG